TTGTCTCATTACTCCTCAGGTTTAGTCTAATTTTCGCATATATTGAAATGATTTAGGCCATCCTTTGTAGCTCATAGCCTTTAAACCTGTCCCTACGTATGTGTTATCCTTTGTGTCCCCTTTGAGCCTCTTATTTTCTTTATAATAAGTGCTAAGCACTTATTACCCCTTTGTGATTGTTTTTTCTATGATTTACCCCATTATCATAACCCTTAGCCCTTGGCCAAATATTTCCCATCCACCCTTGAGAGAATGAAACTTTTATCTTTATCTTTTCCGTAAGAAGAGTTTTATGGAGTTGTGCTACGATAAAAAGCAGCTAGTGTTACAAATGTCCAAGTGTGGGGGTCATGAAAGTTTGGATTGAAATTATCTTGCTATATCCAAAAGATGTCCAAAGACAAAGAAAAGTAAAAAAAAAAAAAAAAAAAAAAAAAAAAAAGAGTGATTGAAAGCTTTTGAGTTTGGATCCCCACTTTACCAAAGAGTTGCTAAGTTCTTAAAAGGAAGTTGCTCCTTGGAATTATGATTATCTCATCTCTTCCAGATTTTGAAAAGCTATAGATAATTGTGTCATGCTCTCCCTTTGTTATCATTCCTTACTTTTTTTTTCCTATAAACCGTGACCCTTAGCCCCATTACAAGCTTAATAAAGACCTATTTGATCTCTACATGCAATGTTGGTTCTATTCAGGAGGAGTAGGAAGGGCAAGCCCAGGATGTTTTTCTGATGTCGTGTTTTGCATAAACCTAACTGAGTACGTGTGCACACTAGATTTCTCACTACTAACAATCTGGGTGCTTGTATGTTGGCTTGGGAGTAGAACGCGGGTGCCAAGCAGAGATGATTCCGGAAGCATGTGTCCTGCAGTGAGTTGGCTTGTGGTTTTGCTAAGTTGTGCACGAGAAATTGGGAGCGATCCTTGTGTTTTGACTTGCGGTTTGATTTAGTGTTTTGCTTGAGGACAAACAAAGTCTTAAGTGTGAGGGGGTGATGTTATCACATCTGTGCATGTTTTTATAGCTTTTCTGATTCATTTTAGAAACAAAGTTATTGAATCATGTCCATTTATTGCTTGTTTTCCTTGCTTTCTCGTTAGATTATGTTTTTACACTTGTTTTGAATGTCTTACGGTGTTCGGTAGTGTTTTTCTTCACCATTACAGGGTGAGCGTGAAAGCAAGGGAAGAACTTCAAGCACGAAATGATCAAAAGAGGAAGAAGCCGAAGCATCAGCAATTCGACGCGTCGAGCCCATGCCTCGACGCGTCGAAAATTTCCAGTAGTCTCAAACATCGCACAGGCTGGAGGCTCGACGCGTCGAGCAGACTTTCGACGCGTCGAGGTCGCGGGCAGCTGTTGACTTAAAGGACTCCTAAATTGATGCCATCAGGGTTCGACTATAAAAAGACCATCTTCTATCAACCCTAGTCTCTCTCTTCTTCTGCGATTTGGGTGTTTTGAAGGCAATCAAGAGCAAAGCACAAAGAGGACCAACTTGAAGATTTACAACTAGCTTTGGAATAGAGAATTAGCTAGAAAGATTTGGGAGAACTCTTTCACTCTTACTCTTATCCTCGTTGGTATTTGTTTATCTTTGAGCATTGAATTAACTGTTATTATGGCCATGAGTGGCTAGATTCTTTAGGGATTTTTTGGGTGAATTTGTTTATGAACCTATGTGCCTTGTTCGTTAGTTTCTTAATATATTTATGTTTGGTTTTATGATTTGTGTTGCAGTCTTGTCTTAACCTGTTGTTGTTGGTAATTAGAGGCCTAAATTACTAGCTTCATAGTCATATTTGTGTCACCAATGGGAATTGGGGCATAAACTAGGGCACACACGATTGCACCTAATGGTTGGTCCTTGGGAAAGGGGAACTTATTAGGGGAAGTTTATTCTAGATTGTTGCCAATCGGGAGATGGTAGTAATTAGGAATAATTGAATGCTGATCTTTGATCTTATTGGGTGTTTAAGCCATGGGAGTGGAAATTCACTAGGAATAGAGATTACGGGAGTAATTCGATTCCACTTTGCATTCCCATACAAATCTTAATTCCAAACCAAATATTACAAATGTTAATTGGCACTAGGTGATTAAACATTGTGATCCCAAGAATCCTATTTTGCTCTATTATCTACAAAACCTTGCTACTTATTTTATTTTGCTTGTTATTTTATGCAATCAATCAACCTTCAAGTTTTGTTCGGACTAGTTTCATATGAGTAACCTAGTAGCTAGTGATTAGTACATCACCTCTCTGTGGTTCGACAACCCGAATACTCCGGGTATTATTTGTTTGCCCCAAATTACACCAATCAGTAGCGAAACGGCAAAGAGGAACGTTGCATGCCTAGTAACCGTGACATTGCCGCGGTCCTTTGGCTAGAGCAGTGCTTAGAAGTTACAAAAAAGCTTTTGTTGTAGTTGATTTTCTGACCGGACCCTGCCTGATAATCCTTCAAGAGCTTCGATAACTCCTTTAACGAATTCGATGAGCCATTAACTAGGATGATGATGTCATCTGCGAAGGTCAAGTGGGAGATTAATGGACACTGCAACCCCGAGGAATATGGGGAAATCAATCCTGTACCCACTTTTAGAACCAGCGAACGTGACAAAGCCTCCGAAGCAAGTATGAAAAGAAGGGGCGATAGCGGATCCCCTTGTTTTACACCCCTTGTCGGTTGAAAGAAGCCACAGCTGACCCCGTTGACCAAGACGGATAACCTTGTAGCTTCCAGGTTGTTCAAGACTAAACCGATAAACCCGGGTGGGAATCCAAACCTGGTAAGGGCTGCCTTTAAAAAAGGCCACGAGACTCGGTCGAAAGTCTTCATCATGTCCAACTTAACTACAACATTTGAGCCCCGGCATATCTTATCAATATATTGCAGGAGCTCAAAGGCTAGCAAAACATTGTCCTGTATACTGCGCCCTTTAACAAAACTAGCCTGCTCACTCGAGATTAGCTTCGGCAAAATGGGACTTAGACGGCTTGCAAGGATCCTAGTAAAAACTTTGCTGATGAAGGTGCAAAGACAAATCGGCCTAAAGTCCGCAAACGTGTCTGGATTATTCCTTTTGGGAATTAGCACTATTTGTGCACTGGCTAGTGCTCGTGGAATCGGAACGCCTGCAAAGAAGTCCAAAGTTGCTTGATAAACATCTTCATGGATAAATTCCCAGCAGTGTCTGAAAAAGGATCTATGAAACCCATCCGGACCGGCTGCACTGTCAGGGTCGAGCATCCACATGGCCTTTTTAACCTCTTCCCGCGATATCGGCGAGGTCAAAGCGATCACATCTGAATTTTCCAAGCAAGGCGGAAGACACATCAAAAGGGAATCCATACCGGGGCAATTTTCGGCCGTGAATAGGCTGGAGTAGTACTGGACTGCCTCCGCTTGAATTGCCTCAGGGGTCGACAAAATAGAACCCGAGCTATCCTTGATGGAGTAAATGGCCTGCCTTCGATGTCGATCTTTAACCATCGCATGAAAGACACGCGTGTTCGCATCCCCCTCCCTAAGCCATTTGATCCGTGCTTTCTGCTTCCAGTAGGCCTCTTCCTGTTTGAGAGCAAGCAAGAGGTCTGCTTGGAGCTTATGGAGGGAGGTTCTGTTTTCAGCTGATGGAGAGTCCTCATAAATTCCTTCTGCTTCTGTCACAGCAGTCTCCAAATTACGAACCCGGTCAAAAACGTTCCCGAAAACCTCTTTGTTCCACGATCGTAGGGCTTGTTTAAGGCGTTTAAGCTTGAAAGCCAAAGCACGCATGCCACCCCCATCTGCAGGCTCGGCCCAGTTGGCCCGTGCGAAATCTAAGAAGTTGGGGTGGGTCTTCCACATATTTTGAAAACGGAACTGCTTTGGAAACGTCAAAGCGTTGTTCGACCCATTAAAGAGCACGGGGGAGTGATAAGATGAGGTACGACCAAACACAGAAATTCGGATACCCGTGAAGTAATCCCGCAAAGTCGAGTTCATTAAGAAGCGGTCTAATCTTTTCCAAACTGCCCCTGCGCTATGAACCCCGTGCCAAGTGTAAAGACCTCCGGTTGTTGCGAGGTCGAGTAGGCCATTATCGTTAATAAAATCAGAGAAATCTGATATGCTGCCCAGGTTTGGAAATGCATTGCCTCTGTACTCAGAGATGCTCGAAATCACGTTGTAGTCACCGCCCATAAGAGTAGGCCTGTTTACATTTAGTCCTGTTGCAAGTTGTGCCCATAGCTGTGCCGGTTCCAATCTCGTATGCTTCGCATAGATAGCTATGTAGTCAAAGGTAAACTGCCAGGGGGAGTAGCAAGCAGTACAAGAGATAAATTGTTCACAATCCTGGTCAATATTTATTTGTAAAGAATCACTCCATAGTAAACAAAATTTTGAATTTTCTGAAGCATAGCCACCTACAAAGTTAAACTCTTGCATGTAACTGTGCAAACGATCAGCTGGTAAAAAAGGTTCAATTATTGTGACCAAATGGATGCCCTCACGACAAATTATTCGTTTCAGCCTGCGCCGTGAGGTGATGAGGCCTCTAACATTCCAGATGAGCAGATTCATTTGAGACGGTGAGAGAAGGATACTCGAGCGATTTTCCCCGCAGCTAGTCGGGTGGTTACTGAGGGGGTATTTGCAGAGTAGTCTTTCCGAGCCCGACTCTTTTTCTTGGTTACTGTTATATAGTCATCCGGGCGCGATCTCCTAATCTTGGAGGCAAAAACTTTACTCGCTTCCTTCCATGACCCTAGCAACGATTTTGAGAAGCTTTGAGCTTCGAAGACTTCATCACCCTCCGATAGATGTCCTGGCTGGGAGTCGAGATGAGGAGCGGACACCATGATCGTCAATGAGAACTGGCCCAAGCGAAGCGTTGGCATCTGGGATGGACTCTGGTAACGCAGAGTTCCCTGAGTCATTTAAAACTGGTTCAGTTGGTGCATTTGCAGAAACATTGTCTTGGGGTTCAGCTATCAAGATCTCAACTGGTCGCTAGCGTTTTCTAGGAGGAACAATATGAGGTTGACGGGCAGGTAGAGTGATTGTTTGCGGGGGATCCTTAGGGGGTTCCCGATATGGTTCTTGCGGGCGATCATCAACGTAGTTGCTTCTACAATCTGACCAAAGATGCCCAAATTTTCGACATCCCATGCAATATGGTGGGATGTATTCATAGGTTACTTTTTGATTGAATCCACCGTAAGATCCATTTGTGATCCAGACCTGATTCGGAAGGCTTTGGCTAACGTTCAACTCTACACAAACCCTGGCCAACGACGGTCTGTTGTGCAAAAGAGTTGAAGAATCCACCTTGAGCGGGGTTCCTATGAGGTTGGCGATAGAGTAAATAGCCCTTTTATCCTGCAGGTGAGCCGGAAGTCCATCGAAAGCAATCCATACAGGAACGATTGGGGATTCTATATCTAGTCTGAAGTCCGGTGACCATTTAAAGATCCTCATGATGAAGCCTCGAACTGACCAAGATTTTCGGAGCCAACACCTCTGAAAGTTAGTTTCTAGATCAAAATTGATGAGTACATGCCTTTGATCTAGAAGACCGAGTGAGAATGCTCCACCAAAGCCAATCTGATCGAAAGTCATACGAAGCTCAGCCATAGATGGACGTCCTTTAGAAAATTTACCCACCAGCGCAAAACGAAATTTCTGGGGAAATTGCTGTATGTCTTGATCTGTGAAAGAAATCGCTGGCATTCCTTTGTATCTTCCTGGTGTTCGTAGGGGGGGGGGATCAGAAGAAGTTTTCGAGAGAACATCTGCGAACGTGTGTGGTGGGGGCTCCGCGGTCCCCGGCGGTGCCGCCATCGGAAACGAAAAGCGTCAAAATAGCGGAGGATTTGTAACTAACTGAGAGAGAGCGTTTTTTGTATAATAAATTCGCAGTGTTTTGATTTAGAAACACAATTTATATTCTAAAGGTTTATAATTCCAATACTAAAAACAATTTATACGTTGTCTAAGACCAATGTCGACCTTACAACAAGGTGGACCTAGTCCATGGTATAACAACCCCTATTTACTTCAATCGTTATACCCTACACCACGACGCGCGTAGCACTGTGCGCCGCGCGCCTCCCAAAACGACGTCGTTTTGGGGTCGTTTTGGGAGGGGCGGTAGGAAGTTGTTGTGATTATGTATATTTGTTCACACAATTATGTATATTTATTCATACAATTATGTATATTTGTTCATACAGTTATGTTCATTTTTTATACAATTATGTACATTCTTTTTATACGATTATGTACATTCGAATCAGAAAATTTGTGTGTATTATGTTAAGAGTTGATGTGTATTATGTTAAAAGTTTATGTTTATTATGTATTATGTTAGATTATGTGTATTATCTTTTAAAAAGAGTATGTATATTTTGTTATATAATTATGTACATTCATGTATACAATTATGTGTATTCTAGTATAACATTATGTACATTTTTGAAAATGGTTTTTTTTTAAAGAAAAATTAACTGTCATACACTGGGGCGGGAAATTTCAAAAAAATTAAAACGACGTCGTTTTGCATCTGGGCGCACAGTGCAACGCGCGCCGTGGTGTAGGATATAAATTGCCTACTTACTTCTTTTGAGCAGCACACACTAGTCATTTCACTTAATGGGTCGCAAAGTCACAGTGAGTTACACTTTCACTATTCTGTTGGGCTGGAGAGTGCAAATAGTTGGGCTAGAGAGTGCAAGTTCTGAGGGCGAGAAAATTTCACCTTTTGTTGCAATGTAATCTTTTTTTTTTTTCCTTTTTATATCTAAGAGATGGCCAAGCCCTTTGTCTTATATATAACACCCTATAATGATTTCTCGGTTACATAACATCCCAACCTTATTCATGGGATCTTTTGGGGTTCAATGAAAAATTAATGACCTATAATAATTGGAGTGTTTCGTTGTCTTCCAATAGATATATTTATAGAAATACAAAAAATATCTCCAATTAGGGTCCATTTGGAAAGCAGAAAAATGAATTCTGGAAAATGAGTCATTTTTTGGAAAATATTTTTCTTTTCTCGTGTTTGGTTGCATTTGGAAAACTGTTTTGGTGTGTTTGGTTCATTTTTTGGAAAATGAGTAGAATTGTATAATTAAATATTTTAATTATTTTATTTTAGAATATAAAAATACATTATATATGTTTGAAACTAAAAAAAAAAAAAAGAAAAAGGGTTCGGGTATGCGTTTGGTTTCCGGCGGAACTAGTTTCGCGGTGGTTTCGGCGCCATTTTGGCGGAAGTCATTTTCCGTCGAAATGGGCACATTTTTCCCAGTCAACGGAAATGTTTTCCATTGACTGGATTTTCCAAGTGTTGCCGAACACCAAAAATTCGGAAAATGATTTTCAGAAATCATTTTCCGGGTTTCCAAACACAGCCTTAATTGAAAATGATAACATAATCTGATTGAAGTTGATGATTTTATTAAACCAAAATCCATCATGTTGTTGGGGTAAAATTGGTAATGAATCGCAACTATTAAATAAATTATAGAGGTAATTTCTAAAATGTTCCTCCGACTATGGCATTTTCTCAAATTTTCCCTTTGACTTTTAATTTTTTCAAAATGATTCTCCGACTTTTGAATTTTAAGCCAAAATGGTCCTTCGTTAGCTTTGGCGTTAAGTTGGTGTTAAAATAAAGGGTAAAACTAGAAATTTAGATTTTCACTCCAATTTAAAGCAATTTATGATTCCTTTCAGTAGTCTGCGCACATATTTCATCAAATTAGGTTTTTGTTCTCCTAAATCTGCAATCAAAATGTGGGATAATCAACTAGAAGGCCAGAAATCTTTGCCTTGAGAAATTTATGGATGAAGTTGAAGATGAACTTGTTTGGTCTTCTAGTTGATTATCCCACATTTTGATTGTAGATTTAGGAGAGCAAAAACCTAATTTGAAGAAATATGTGCGCAGACTGGTGAAAGGAATCACAGATTACTTTAAATTGGAGTGCAAAACTTAAATTTTCAATTTTACCATTCATTTTAACACCAACTTAACACCAAAGCTAATAGAGAACCATTTTGGCTTAAAATCCAAAAATCGAAGGACCACTTTGAAGAAATTAAAAGTCAAGAAATCAATTTGAGAAAATACCATAGTCGAATGACCATTTTAGAAATTAACTCATAAATTATATGTTGGGACACAAGTGCTCTTTCAATATGTAAGAAATAATATTGAACATTCAGAATATAATAATGTTTAAAGGGAAATTGAGATCTTCTATTTATAATATTTATAATATGTGATAGAGCAAGTAACTTTCAAAAAAAAAAAAAAAAAGTTAAAAATAGCAAGAAACGAGTGAACAACAAACTCTAGAAATCACAAACTAAACATGCATTACACAATTGTGATTCACTACTTTCCCTTTCACACACCCGTTGGCTGCCCTGCTTTTACCAGCGCGAACTCGCGGCCAGGCGCGGGGTACCAATCGGGCTGCCCCACCAAACCACCCATTTACTGATTTACCCCTTCTTTTTATTATTTGCACATTGGACCCTATAATTTATGTTTTCCACGCAGTGACCCTTAAACTTTCCCTCTTCTTCACCTTATACACCATCTATGTAGTCTTTGCACTCTCATCTTCTTTATCTTTGATCCTTAGCCTAATTCACTCCTCTAGCGCAAATTATGTCGTGGAAACGTGTTCACCATGCTTGGTGAACACGTTTCCAAACGACGTCGTTTTTGGTGTCTTTAAAAAAAAATACAGTGTTCTATTAACGGCTTTAGCACCGAGTTTAAAGGCAGTTCTGATTTGGTAGTTTCACAATTCCTTGCGGTTGATTCGATCCGACATTCGCGATTCTTTCCTATTCGCGATGGAGGAGACGGAGGTTCGAGGAGAAGATTCCACCGATCTGATTTCTGCGATTCCAGGTTAGTTCGATTTTATGCGTTTGATTTCGTTTGATTTATGAGATATAGCATGTTGAAGATTTAGTTGTTTTTATTGGTATTTGTTCAGTATCTATGCAGTTTGAATGTTCATAATGTCGTAATTGTGTATTAGTACCATGTTCCTGTTATGAATTTTACAATATGAGATATGAGATTATGTATTTTCTGTTACGCAATTATGAATTTTGATACTCTGTTCATGCATGTGGTATGAATATTCATAATGTAATAGTACTATGTTCATAACATATTAACTGGTATGTTACACTGTTTGCATATACTCAGTGAATGAAGACTTTGTTGGTGATTCAATAAGCACTGATCAAGCAGAGTTAAACATTGACATTGCTGGCTCGTCTTCAAGTCCAGGTTCTTTTTATTAGTTTGTGCATCATGAATGTGGTTTCTGGTAGTTGTAGGTACTGATTCATGGTGATTATATGCAATTTGAATGTCAGTAATGTTGTGATTGGTATTAATACTCTGTTCATGTTATGAATTTACAGTTTTGAGGTTATGAATTTTCTGTTATGTTGTTATGAATTTTCTATATGAGATTATGAATTTTATGTTATGAGATTATGAATTTTATGCTATGAGCATATGAATTATGTGTATCTGTTATTGATGGACAATATGTTCTTCTTATGTAGAGCATGGCTGGATTTATTCGGCATTCCCCGTCCCCCCTCTACTTAAATGAATAATATATTTCCATCAAACTTATTTCTGTTATGATATTTTTCACTATCTATGCATCTTTGAATGTCCATAATGTCACAAATGTTATTGATACTGTCTCTGTTATGAACTTTCTGATATGATATTATGAATTTTATTCTGTGTGATTATGAATTTTCTATTGTAGCATATTATATTCATTATAGGTGAACTGCACATTAATATTTTAGTAGTTGGTATAGGTGTGGTTATATTTTTGTTGCAATTGCAGTTGATGAAGACTTGGTTGGTGTTGTAGTAAGCAATGGTGATGAAGCTTTTGAGTTATATAATGGATATGCATACAGAGTGGGTTTTAGTGTGAGGAAAGGCCAACAACGTTATAAGGCATCTACTAAGTCAATTCAGATGAAGAGGTTCTTCTGTGCTAAGGCTGGGTATAAGGAGAAACCAGATAGTGGTGTTAAGCTTTATTCAAAAATTGATACAAGGACCGGTTGTGGTGCACTTGTTCAGTTTGATGTGGGGGGTGATGGGATGTGGACAGTTACAAAACATGTGAAAGAGCACAATCATGAGTTATGTTCATTTGGCAAGAGTCATCTGCTCCGTTCGCATAGAAGAGTGGGAAATAATCATCTTGAATATTTAAAAGATATGAATAATAGTGGTGTTGCATTGGCGGATGGTATGAGGTTTTTGAAACATCAGTCAGGGGGTTCTCCATTGGTTGGCTTTACCAACCGCGATGCTTACAATTCGATGGCTTCTGAGAGTTTGAAGTGTTTGGATGGAACTGATTCCAATTCTTTGATTGAAATATTCAAGAGGAGGCAATCTAATGAGACTGATTTCTTTTTTGATTTTGAAGTTGATTTGGATGGAAGATTGTGTAGTTTTTTTTGGAGGGATGGTCAAATGAGAAGGGATTATGAGGTGTTTGGTGATTTGTTAGTGCATGATACAACATATCGCACTAACAAATATGATATGATTTGTGGTCCTTTTGTAAGGATGAACCATCATTGCATGAATGTAATGTTTGGATGTGGTTTTTTGATGAATGAGAGGATAGAGTCATTTGCGTGGTTGTTTAAAGCGTTTTTAAGATCCATGGATGGCAAGTGTCCACAGATTATCATGACGGATCAATGTTCAGCTATGGCTGCTGGCATTTCTATGGTGTTTCCTACATCACGCCACC